ACACACACACACACACACAGAGAGAGTAGCAGTAGTAAATGGAATTTTTCACATCTGCAACAATGCTGTCTGTTCTGATCTGAGACCCTAATTGAAATACACATCTTTCAAGCTTTTCAAAGGAATTAGAGACAAAGGGCATTATGGAATCCATTTCATATGCTATCAAAGTTTAACAAAACACAGAATTCTTCTAGCAACCATACCGTATTAAATTAGAAGAAGTTGTGAAACAATTGCTTTCTGTACCAGCATTTGACTTATCTTTGGAGCAACACTGATCTATGTATCTAATATGCAAAGTTCCACATATTATCTGCACTTGTTTATAAGAAAATAATTTTCCTGAAAGATACGATAAAAAAATCACAAGAACAAAAGTTTAGTATACTGTATTTTGCTCAAATATTCTACAACCTCAGAGCTTGTTAGCTAGTTAGGTGCTGTGAAATCGAAATCTAATAGGGCTGTCAAAGTACCGTAAGTGAAATATTTAAAGAGTGGTTATACCAGTTCTACTCTCTCAGTGATTTTCCATGGGCAAATGGGAATTAGAACACTGGCCTCCAGAGTCCTAGTTTGTCACTCTATCCACTACACCACAATGGGTTTCTCCCAAAACTGGACATCATTAGTAATTCATTTAGCAACTCTTATATTGTGTTCTACCTAGGGACGTAGTGGCACTGCAGGTTAAACCGCAGAAGCCTCTGTGCTGCAAGTCAGAAGACCAGCAGTTGTAAGATTGAATCCATGCGATGGAGTGAGCTCCCGTCGCTTGTCCCACCTCCTGCCAATCTAGCAGTTCGAAAGCAGGTAAAAAATGCGAGTAGATAAATAGACACCACCTCGGTGGGAAGGTAACGACGTTCCATGTCTAGTCGTGCTCGCCACGTGACCACGGAAGCTGTCTACGGACAAACGCTGGCTCTATGGCTTGGAAACAGGGATGAGCACCGCCCCCTAGAGTTGAACACGACTGGACTAAATGTAAAGGGGAATCTTTACCTTACCTATATTGTATTCTGCTCTCCTGCCCACTGAAATATTTGTGGAATCAGGTTTTATTTATTTATATTTTTAAACTTTTAAACAGCCCATCTGACCAATGGCCACTCTGGGTGGTATACAACAGCAAACAATATGAACATATAACAAATAAACCTAAATTCAATTAACACAATTAAAAATTAAAATTAACTTAAAATCAAATAATAGCTATAGATGTTAAACATATAATCTCAGTGGGCTATTGAGATGGTATAGTTTCAAAAGCCTGCCAAAATAGGAAAGTTTTCCAAAATTTCCTAAAAGATTCCAGAGAAAGGGTCAGGTGAATTTCAGGCAGCAGTTCATTACAGAGGAGAGCCTGGTTCCTTTTTCTCTCTTGGGGCTAGCATCCTCAGCCACACAGCCTGGGATACATAAGTAGGGCGGGCAGTCCCTCTTGGAAGGAGGCATATGCCATGTATCGAGGTCCCAAACTGTTTAGAACTTTATAGGTCAATACCCACACCTTGAACCTGATAGAGGAATGTACTGGTAATGAGTAGACATGGGGATGAATTTAAAAAATGGATCGTGATATACATAAGAAATTGCTGATTCGTTAAATATTTGTTCCTTCATATTCATCTGTTTCAGGGACCTAGACGAATAAGAAGGGAGAAATATTTCCCCACTTTTATTTGTTCCCCATAGGAAGAGAGGGAAGGCTAGCCTTCTCTCTCTTCCTATCGCTTTCCCATTTTGCCCACGGGCCCGCTGATCGATTGCCTGAAGCATGTGTTTCCCTTAGCCTGCCTTAAGGGACTCCTGGCTGCCCCTTGCAAAGATGAAGGCTGCAGCTTCCCTACCCTAAATGAAGCCACAGCCGCCATCTTTGCAAAGGGCAGCTGGTGTCCCTTACTGCAGGCCATAGCTGCAGAGGCCAGCTGGAGACTCTGGTGATGATTACGGGGGGCAGCGGCATGGGGGGGGCGAAGCAGGGGCGGCAAGAGAGCACTGCAGTAATCTATTCTTGAGACTGCCAAAGCCTGGACCAGCATGATGAGAGACCTACTGTCAAGGTAAGGATGGAACTGTTCTGGTGGTCCAAGGCACTGGTTCTTAACCTTGGGTTACTCAGGAGTTTTGGACTGCAACTCCCAGAAGCCTTCACCACAAGCTGTGCTGACTGGGGTTTCTGGGAGTTACAGTTCAAAAGCATCTGAGTAACAAAGGTTAAGAACCACTGGTCCAAGGTATGCGGTTTTCTGGCAGTTCTCCTCCACCACCATATTTCAAATGATTTTTTTCTCTGTTGGCTTTTTTCACGTCCAGCTTTCACATCCATACATAGTACAGTGGTGCCTCGACTTACAAACGCCCCTACCAATGAACATTTCGACTTACAAACAGCTCCGGTCACAAAATTTTGCTTTGACTTGCAAATGGAGCTTCGACTTACAAACAGAAAAAAAATTGCAGGGATGGCGGGGAAAGCAGGAAATTTGAACTTTCAGTTAACCGTTGGCCAGTGAAGAGGCTGCTTGTCTGCTACATCGCTCGCCCCAGTGGTTAGAGAGTGTGGATACAAAGAGAGACTTCAGACTGCCTAGTACTGTACTTGCCTGGTACTGTATTGTATGTATTGGTTTTTTTTATCTTTGATTTTTGTATTTTTGACTTTCTTTTTTAAAACAGAGAGACTGCCTGTTCTGGGTGAGTACACTGTATGTACAGGGTTTTTGCAGCTTCGGTTTGGGCTAGGTGGGGGGGTTATGTTTCTCTGCTCTGATGGGTCTTGCAGACCCTTTCTGTAAAGGTATATGCTGGCCAGTGTGCTTTAAATGGATTATAGTCTTTTGGTTTTAAAATCAGAAATTTTTTGCAAGGGTCTGTACTGGCTGGTGTGCTTTAAAATTGAGTTTAGTCTTTTGGTTTTAAAATCAGAAATTT